AGGTAGTAAAATATTACAACGTCAACAGGCTAGGTTTTCGTTTAAAGGTTTTTAGCATGTTGCGACAGTCCACTTGTTAACAGGTTAGGTGTTCATTTAAGGGATTATAGCATGTTGCGACAGTCTACTTATCAACAGGTTAGGTGCTCGTTTAAAGGTTTTTAGCATGTTGCGACAGTCCACTTGTTAACAAGGTTAGGTGTTCATTTAAAGGTTTTTAGCATGTTGCGACAGTCTACTTATCAACAGGTTAGGTGTTCGTTTAAAGGTTTTTAGCATGTTGCGACAGTCGACTTGTCAACATGTTAGATGTTCGTTTAAAGGTTTTTAGCATGTTGCGACAGTCCACTTGTTAACAGGTTAGGTGTTCATTTAAGGGATTATAGCATGTTGCGACAGTCTACTTATCAACAGGTTAGGTGTTCGTTTAAAGGTTTTAGCATGTTGCAACAGTCTACTTGTCAACAGGTTAGGTGTTCGTTTAAAGGTTTTTAGCATGTTGCGAAAGTCCACTTGTTAACAAGTTAAGGTTTTCGTTTAAAGGTTTTTTTGGTTGAATGGTAATAAAATTACCTGAAGATGATTAATAAATTCAACACTCTAAGGGTTAGCTAAATAACCCACATCTCGTAGTTATCGAAAGGTAATAAAATATCTACAGTATTACAATCTAAACACGCTATATGTTATTTTAAAGATCCACAACATTTTAACGGACCTCTCGTGTTTTGCAGTCGAAAGTAAATCTATAATCTGAAGACGATTACTTAAGATTTTACAATTCCAGTCACTAGTCTAGGTGTTAGTTTTATAAAAGTCTACAACTTTTGCTTACCTGAATTAATTAAAGGTAACGAAGTAAAACTATTTTTCTTCACTGCTTAACATTCCAGAACATCTTCACTGATCGGATTTCCTAGTAGAAGACGATCTGAAAATAACCAACTGATTCCTTTCACCCTAAACAATCACAATGTTTACCCCCCCAAGTGCCTACGACATCTTTATTTGTCCGTATTTGCTATTAGGGAAAAAAAACATGTAAAGCATTGAACTTTTCGACAATATATCTGAACAATGAAGGCTTTGGTTTATGCGTATACAACATTTTATCTTCATTAAGTTTCTTGATGTGAAATTATAAAATTACTTGAAAATAACCATATGAAATCTCCAAATATTTCACTAGAACGTTGTGCTAAGAAAATTTTGGATCTCTTTTTTTTCTTCTTTTTTTGCTAACGAGTTCAGGTGTTTCGAAATTAAATTAACAAAATACTCTATTGAGGATTCTGTTTATGCGTTTGTTATAAATTATAGTTAGCTAAAACACGACAGATGACAAAAGTTTTTGATTAGTAGGGCAGTTCACGGAAGGAGTGAACGCGATTAAACAGTGAAGCCAAACATTAGTTTCCAAGTATCTAAGCATCTGTTTGCCAACAAGGCATTTTCAGTAAGGTTTTGTTGGGAAGCTTAGTGGTGAAGCCAATATACGAATGACAGTTGTATTAATAAAGAATTGATGATCTGAGCAAGTTGGGGATTTTACTTTTGTAGGAAATTTATTAAAAAGTTTAAATCGACTTTTGAAGATACCGTTAGGCGTAAGGTGTTAAACACGTTTGTTTCTTTACGAATGTGTGAAAAAAAACAACATCTGCAAATAATTTCCTTTAGAATAATTTCTGATTTTCAAAAGCAGGGGTGGCACTAACGGGAGGTACATGTCCCCTGAAATGTCGCTCTATTGTCTAATTGTAATTTAATTTTAGACTTGGCCCTGTTATGTGTCTCATCCCCCCCCCCCCCAGTTAAGAAACTTTGGAGCAGGTGCTTTTCAACAGGCTATGTTAGTTACATTATCGGCCTTGCGACAAAGGATTAGTGAACACGTTAATTATCATTTTATAACAACTCACTAGGGTTTGAAATCGTTCCGTCACATCTTTTTTTTTTATTTCCCACTAAATAAAACTTATGAGTTAAGGAGTATTATAATTGAGTGATAAAACATGTTTACATTTTCACACGTTGTTAATCACTTTGTAATAAGTTCAACATACAAACATTGAAACTTGGTCCTAAAACTTTACACATTTTTGACTGTACTTTCGGCATCTTATTTCAAAATTTGCCTCCTTTACTAATGCTCATTTGTTATCCCATTATATAATTTGCATATTGATATATATATAAAAGACATTTTAATACTACAAATAAACGACCGCATAACACCAAATATGTTATTTTTCTTTAATTTCACACTCAACGCTTCTCTTTACAGCTTCTTCAGGAGCGTTCCACTAAAACATAAACCGTAACTGACATTACGAAGCTTCATAGGGTTTAAATAATTAATTCTAATTGAACGTATAGCATGCATTTCTCCAACGTGCGTTTGAAATATTAAGTAGTAAAGCTTATTGTTTAAATAATTGTATTGTTAAGATAATTAACTGTTACCTGTAATAAACAAAAGTTCTGTCCAAGTTACCGATTGAAGTGATAAATGTTAAGACGAAAACTAAAATAATTATAATTATAAGCTCCATCTTTGTTTCTATTCATTTTTAGTTGTAGTTGTTCGATGAGAAGAGTTTCTTTAAATTCTCTGTTAATGTACTTGGTGGTTTTGGTAAGAAAATAGAAACTTTAATCTGGAAATCTGAACTGCCGACTAAAGACGTAAAACGGCCAGGTCCAATCTCAACATTACCCAACTGTCTTTCAAAATCTCAACATTATCCAACTGTCTTACGAAATCTCAACAATATCCAACTGTCTTTCAAATTCTCAACATTACCCAACTGTCTTACAAAATCTCAACATTATCCAACTGTCTTACAAAATCTCAACATTACCCAACTGTCTTTCAAAATCTCAACATTATCCAACTGTCTTTCAAAATCTCAACAATATCCAACTGTCTTTCAAAATCTCAACAATATCCAACTGTCTTACAAAATCTCAACATTATCCAACTGTCTTACAAAATCTCAGCAATACCCAACTGTCTTACACAATCGTGTATCTTGTCTCGAATGTTGTTTACCAGCTTACTTGTAAGAGAACACATTGACTCTCTTTATAAACAACAACAACTTGAAAGAAGCGCAGTTGCAGACCGTTTTAACTAATCATGGACAAACAACATTGACGTTAATCCATCATTCTCTTTACAAATCCTCACCAAAGTCGACAAATACGCTGATAGAAAATGTCAAAAAAATTCTTCTCGTCGAACAACTACGACAACAGGAACAAAGAATGGAGCCTATAATTATTTTATTTTGTCATCTTATCTTTTCTTATTTTAATTTGTAACTTTGATAGAACTTTGTTAACTACAGGTAATTATTTCAACAATACAATTCTTTCAATAATAATTTCGAAATTAAAGAATAGGTTAAAAAAATCGCTTGATTGTTATCTGTACGAAGGGCCCAAGCTCGTAACTTCATCCTCTTAAAATAAAAATATTTTAAAAAATTGGCGACTTTTTTAACCTATTCTTTAATTTCGCTACATTTGTCGCCTATGCGGTTAACTGTATATTTCTTCTCACTACTTAAGATGTCAAACGCACGTTGTAGGAAAGCACGCTATAGATTCAATTAGAATTTATTATTCCAACCATTTGAAGTTTTGTATCGTCAGTTACGGTTTGTATTTTGTTTGTTTGTTTTTAATTATGCACAAAGCTACACAAGGACTATATGTGCTCTGCCCACCACGGGTATCGAAACCCGGATTCTAGCGTTGTAAGTCCGCAGACATACCGCTGTACCACTGGGGGGCGGTTTGTATTTTAGTGAAACTCTCCTGAAGAAGCTGTAAAGTGAAACACTGAATGTCCAATTACAGCAAAATAACAACTTTGGTGTTATAAGGTAGTTTATTACTAGTATTAAAATATCATTCGTTTTCTGTTACAAGTGCGGTCCTCTAGTGGCCGTTATTTATAATTTGCCCCCAAATATTGAGTGCAATTTCCAATCCGGC